TCTTAATAAATTTCTATTATTCAACATTCATCTCAAGGTAAAATCAAAGTCTGCACCCGACATGTAAACAAATGACTGTAAATGTTTTCTATGTCCCCCTTGGAATTCTTCTTATTACTTTTTAGGTATAATTTATATATGGACAACTATTACCACTAATGATCCACTTTTAGGACTTTTCCATCACTTCAAGATCTTTTGGGCTCATCTGCAGTAAATCTCTGTTCCTATCTTTAGCCCCAGGCAAACACTAATCTACTCTGTCTCTATAGATTTGCCTATTCTGGACACTTGGTAAAAATGAAATCATATATGGTCTTCTGTGACCGGCTTCTTTCACTAAGCATAATGTTTTGAGGTTCACACATGTTGCAGTGTGAATCAGTAGATTGTTCCTTTCTTACTTAGGAATGGTATTCTACTGTGTGGACATAACATATTTTGTTTATCCATTCATGAGTTGATGGGTATTTGGGTTGCTTCCACTTTTTGTTTATTATGAATAATGATATGAATATCTGTATACAAGTGTTCACATGCTTATTAGCCATTTGTACATATTTTCTGATGACATGTATTCCAATCTTTTGCCTATTTAAAAAAATTTTTTAATGTTTACTTATTTTTGAGAGAGAGAGAGAGAGGCAGAGTGAGAGCCAGGGAGGGGCAGAGAAAGAGGGAGACACAGAATCTAAAGCAGGCTCCAGGCTCTGAGTTGTCAGCACAGAGCCCAGTGCGGGGCTTGAACTCACAAACAGGGAGATCCTGACCTGAGCCAAAGTCAGACGCTCAACTGACTGAGACACCCAGGTGCCCCTTCCTATTGTTTTAACTGGGTTGTCTTATTACTGAGTTCTTCATATATTCCGGATAGGAACCCTTTATCAGATGCATAATTTGAAATTATTTTCTCACAGTTTATGACTTGCCTTTTCATTTTTTAAATGGTGGTAACAGACAATACTTATTTGTTTAATCCATCCAGTTAAGGTGGACCTTTGGATCATTTCTGGTTTTGAACTATTACAAAATTAATATTTGTATGAACATTTGTATACAAACATTTGTATAGAGGGGTGCTTGAGTGGCTCAGTTGGTTAAGTGCCTGACTTCGGCTCAGGTCATGATCTCACCGTTCATGAGTTCAAGCCCTGTGTCAGGCTCTGTGCTGACAGCTCAGAGCCTGGAGCCTGCTTGGGATTCTGTGTCTCCCTCTCTCTCTGCCCCTTCCCTGCTCGCACTCTCTCTCACTCCCTCAAAAATAAATAAACATTAAAAAAAATTTTTTTAAAGAAATATTTGTATAGCAATATTTGTGACCACCTATGTTATCATTTGTAGTGAGTAAATACTCAAGAATAGAGTTGGTGGGTCATATGACAAGTGTATATTTAACTTTATAATAAACTGCTACACTGTTTACCAAGTGGTCATACCACTTCACATTCTCACAGACAGCAGATGAGAGATCCAGTGGTTCTAGATCTTCTCCAACACATATTGATGTAAGTGTTCCCAATTTTAGTCATTTGAGGGAGATACATTTGGGTTTTTTTCTTGCTTAATTATTTGATTGTAGTAAAACATACATAATTGTTATCATTTTAATCATTTGTATTTGGTAACCATTCAGTGCCATTAAATACACTCACATGCTGTGTACCTGTCACCACAATCCATACCCAAAGCTTTTCAGTATCCTTAACATAAACTATAGAGCCATTAAACAGTAACTCCATTCCTTCCAGCCCCTGATAACCTCTGTTCTGCTTTCTGTCTCTATTGAGTTTGCCTCTTCTAGGTACTTCACATAAATAGAATTACACAATATTTGCCCTTCTGTGTCTGGCTTATTTCACTAAGCATGGTGTTTTCAATGTCCATCCATATTCTTGCATATATAAAAATTTTATTCCCTTTTATAGCTGAACAGTATTTTCTATTGTACTTATATACCTTGTTTTGTTTCTCCACTTCATGTTTCATTGATGGGAACTTGAAGTGTTCCCACCTTTTGGCTATTGTGAATAATGGTGCCATGAACACTGGTGTACGGAGAGATATCTGTTCAAGTCCCTTCTTCCATTTCTTTTGAATATATGCCTAAGAGTGGAATTGTTGGGTCTTATTTTAAGTCTATGTTTAATTTTTTGAGGAACTGCCAAGCTTTTCCACAGTGGCTGTACCATTTTACATTCCCATCAGCAAGACTATTCTTTCAGGAATCATCTTTATAGTTTGTTACATTCTCAGCAACAATGCACAGGGCTCTACATTTTTAACTTACTTGCCAACATTTATTATTTTTCTTTTTTGTTTGTTTGTTTTTTAAATGACAGACCATGCTGGTACATGTGATGTGGTACCCATTGTGCCTTTGATTTGCATTTCCCTAATAACTAGTTATGTTGAACATTATTTCATGTGCTTATTGGCCAGCTCTATATCATCTTTTGAGACATGTTTAAACAACTCTACTGACCATTTGGGGTTTTTGTTTTGTTTTGCTTTTTATAATATATTTTATTGTCAAATTATTGCCCATTTTTGAATTGAGCTTTTTGTTATTGTTGAGTTTCAGTTCTTTATATACTCTAGATTTTAATCCTTTATTGGATACATGACAAAAGTTTTCACTCATTCACTAGGTTGCCTTTTTACATTCTTGATAGTATCCTGTAAATTCATAAAAATTCTTAATTTTAATGAAGTCCAATTTATCTACTTTTTCTTGGTTGCTTATGCTTATGGGGTCATTATCCAAAAAAAAAAAAAAAAAAAAATCACTGCCAAACCTAATGTCATTAAGATTTTCTCCAGTGTTTTTGTTTAAGAGTTTTATAGTTTACTTTAAAGTTCAGATCCAAAGGATCCTATAAGCTGAAGGCAAAGACAATTTGTGATATAGCTTTAATTGGCAATAGCTTTACAAAAACAAAAAGGGACAAAAGTCCCTTGTTCCCAGCTTCTCTTAGTTAATAATTCGTTAAAAATGAAATGCTCACCAATGAAGACAACTTTGAATTCTCTTACACAGTGAAGAACATTTTGTAATGTGATTCGTTGCCTTTTAATTTGTTTGAATCTATTTGATTTGTTTAGTCTAGATTTTGGAATATTATGTTTCTTTTTTTTAAATATAATTTATTGTCAAATTGGCTTCCATACAACATCCAGTGCTCATCCCAACAAGTGCCCTCCTCAATGCCCATCACCCACTTTCCCCTCTCCCCCACCGCTTATCAACCCTCAGTTTGTTCTCAGTTTTATGATTCTCTTATGGCTTGCCTTCTTCCCTCTCTGTTTGTAACTTTTTTTTCCTTCCCCTCCCCCCATGGTCTTCTGTTAAGTTTCTCAAGATCCACATATGAATGAAAACATATGGTGTCTGTCTTTCTCTGCCTGGCTTATTTCACTTAGCATAATACC